TTGTAATTTAAGTCATTGACTTTTGCAAGGTTGAGTAAAACAAATACCCTTAATAATGCTATCTATTGATAAACTTCCCATTATGGACATTCTTTTCAAGAGTTTGCGAAAGACTTTTTCTATTGTTGCACTCTGAATGATGTACACCTGTCGGCATCACCACTTCTCAATGGCAAGATATTGTACGTGATAGTACTGTAATTGTTGCCTTACTAATACATATTGGGTTAGACAACCAAAAATCATCACCCCTCGGGTTAGAGATTTCTCTGTCACACCATCAAGATTGAGGAAGATTCCATTAAACAATTGCCATCCGGGCTTCATATGCAAATGTGAATGTGCGGACAGTTTACAACTTTACTAGAAGAGCAGCTGTTTTTATGGGTTTTAGGTAATAAGCAAGAAATAGAATCGTAAGGACAAGGTAATTCAAAGCCTCGGGTCTCCTGCTCAATATTTTATCTCTTGGGTTTGAATTACCTTATCCTTTCCTCACATCAGGGATTGATACTTTTAATCTCACCCTAGGGTTGAGACGGGGGATTCTCCTATTGATTACAATTGCATGACGTCACGTCAAAAATAAGATGACGTCACGTCAACAATCCATCAAAGTCGAGTCAATCCCGAATTCAGTCTATAACGTTCCTATTACATCATGTGTATGATACACAATAGGTGAACAGGATAAGAGAAAAAGAATCATTCACCTCCTTGAGGATGAGATAGGGGAATCTCAACCCTCGGGGAAAGCTTCTCAAGTTGCCAAACACTCGACACAGCCTCGTGTTTGATAACTTAAGAATTTCCCCCTCAGGTTGAGATGTTTTCGTTTTAGATAAACAGTTTAAGACATGTATGGCCAGGTAAAATCATTGAATTACTTAAAAGGATACGGTCATTTAACACGAAAGACAATGCAAAACACAAAAAACGCGTTACATAAAAACAATTTCCCAAAACAAAGACGGCACATTCCCTATACTTCGCCTTACACTACCATTTTTAATTTTCATCAAACATTACGCCGCGAACAAACTCTGAAATTTTATTAACGCTAATGTTGCCTACATTATTCGTGACGGTACCAAGGCTAGTTTATGATCTGCTATTGTTTGAATGGTACCTCCAGGAAGAGGGCTGATATAAGCTTTGCCTGTTGCCCAATTACCTTAAAATCGTATTGATTTATTAAATATTTTGAAATGAAAACTATTGACGTGGCCAATCAATTTCCTGTTATTTAAAGACAGCACATCATTGATATATCTGAATGTGAAAATGAGGGACTTGACTTGGCTTTTGCTACCAATTCTGATAGAATATGGGAGCAGTTTGTTCCAAAAGGAATGCCAATAGTCTGCTGGAAAATCCTGCAACCAAGAACTCGTAACATTTTCATTGAGGGTCATCACATTTCTAATGCATTGCATTCATATATATACAGTATATTATGATATTTTTCTACTAAATTTAAATTGTTAGATTAATATGTCCAAAAACGTGTTTACCGAAAATTATTACCGGTTTTATAAATAATATCTTTGTAGCTATTTCATTATTTAATTGTTTTCCGATCATAGCAATTCGGTCCAAGGTAAGAAATCGTGCTCAGCTGGAGTGATAGACTGTGACGTAGTCATTGATGACCCCGATGACATCTGTACAGTTTCGCTCCTTCGTCTATTACCCCCATAAACATTCTGTAGTTATGTAACTAACGACAGTCACGTTTCATCGCATGTTGTATTGAGGATTCAACAAGCCAATTGAAAGATGAAATTTCAACCCCCTGATAGGTCATATTCAAAGACCCAAATTAAAGATAGGAATATATATATATATCTAATTTGAATACAATGAACTTGTTAACTAATTGTTCATAAGTTCAATATCGAGGTCAACATAGTCAATAATGAGGCATTAAGACATTGAGTTTCCATAAAAAATGTCCATCGAACTTGTAACATGTCAGTCTCTTTTGCGACCCAACTAAATGCTAAGAAATGAGATATCATCTAAAGTTAACTTATTTATCTTTTACTTCATGCCGGTCTCAAAACAAGATAAATATGGCTATAGGAACGCATAAAGGTCATAGTTCAATGCACGAGTAACATATTGTACCGGTACATGTGTACTTATATATATAAACTTGTAAAACACTGTGCATTACATTACACATTATGTCACTCTTCAGTTTCGATGTTTATCACTATATTTAGGCTACTTCACTTCCTCTAAAATGTTCATGTATCGATTCGGGTGACTAGCCTTTGTTTCTTATTTATAATCTGCTAAAATATTTGACCTCAGAATTTTACTTTGATTTCAGTAGTTTTTCAGGGCAACATCTACTTTAATGAGAGACTAATGACCTCTCTACAGCTTAATAAGATAAATTAAGCTCCTCATGGCCGAGGTATATAAATATGAACCTCATATAATATGTCATTGCAGAGCATTCAGTTTGGTCGTTAGTATTTGACATGTTAAAAGTCAGGTTAACTGCTTTTATGAAGACATCAGCCTGAATGTCTTATTATTGACTACGTTAGCATCGCTATGGGACATTTTAATAGCTAATGTAAGCGTATAATATATCCTAACTACATTGTAGATACATATAGGTTCTAATTTTTAACAAGGCTATTTGAATTTAACCTATTAGGGGTCGAAATTTAGGGTGACTTAAGTCTCTCACAAGGGGCTTGACGTCATTAAATGAGTACCATTGAGCTTTGTCTGGCTAATAAATAAATCTTTTCTTGGGTAGGTGATTAAATGTTCTAGGGTCGGCTGAAAAAAAATCTAAGGTAGGTCGGGGTACCTGGAACATATATAGTTAGAATGACATGAGTTGTGTACAAAGTAACGGTATACTTTTTATACTATAAGCTGACTACATTCAATTATTATGTCTACAATATGTGATGATTAGTATCATCCGACTAAACCTGTACAGCAAGATTATGTTTTCTCACATTTACAATCGACCAGCAGCCGCAGCGAAACACCGACAAATACCTGTCGCTGGTCACACGAAACAGGTCTGCGTCAGCTGCTAAGTAAATAGCCTTCCGAGGAAGAATAAATATTATACAATTATCATCTCAAATCAAATTTGTTTTCGAGTACCTGAAGGAATTCAACCAGAACATACCAGAGAGTCAATCATCCACCAACAGGGATGTTATATTCCAGAAGATCACCTTATCTACCTGTCCGTTTATATATATAAATCACCTTATCTACCTGTCCGTTTATATATATAAATCACCTTATCTACCTGTCCGTTTATATATATAGATCACCTTATCTACCTGTCCGTTTATATATATAAATCACCTTATCTACCTGTCCGTTTATATATATAAATCACCTTATCTACCTGTCCGTTTATATATATAAATCACCTTATCTACCTGTCCGTTTATATATATAAATCACCTTATCTACCTGTCCGTTTATATATATAAATCACCTTATCTACCTGTCCGTTTATATATATAAATCACCTTATCTACCTGTCCGTTTATATATATAAATCACCTTATCTACCTGTCCGTTTATATATATAAATCACCTTATCTACCTGTCCGTTTATATATATAAATCACCTTATCTACCTGTCCGTTTATATATATAAATCACCTTATCTACCTGTCCGTTTATATATATAAATCACCTTATCTACCTGTCCGTTTATATATATAAATCACCTTATCTACCTGTCCGTTTATATATATAAATCACCTTATCTACCTGTCCGTTTATATATATAAATCACCTTATCTACCTGTCCGTTTATATATATAAATCACCTTATCTACCTGTCCGTTTATATATATAAATCACCTTATCTACCTGTCCGTTTATATATATAAATCACCTTATCTACCTGTCCGTTTATATATATAAATCACCTTATCTACCTGTCCGTTTATATATATAAATCACCTTATCTACCTGTCCGTTTATATATATAAATCACCTTATCTACCTGTCCGTTTATATATATAAATCACCTTATCTACCTGTCCGTTTATATATATAAATCACCTTATCTACCTGTCCGTTTATATATATAAATCACCTTATCTACCTGTCCGTTTATATATATAAATCACCTTATCTACCTGTCCGTTTATATATATAAATCACCTTATCTACCTGTCCGTTTATATATATAAATCACCTTATCTACCTGTCCGTTTATATATATAAATCACCTTATCTACCTGTCCGTTTATATATATAAATCACCTTATCTACCTGTCCGTTTATATATATAAATGGGTAAGAAGACCCACGCAAAGTTTGTTTAAAGTAATAATTTGATGTTAGTTAAAACTAAACCTTAAATGTCAACGAAGCGACCGAGAGTTGACAGAAATATTTTGATGATCTAGCCTGACAAAGTTTCGCTTACAAAAAAACCCATCTTCCTTTGAATCATTGATTTGATATGAAATGAAAATATGATCAGGTGTAAATATTGAGCTAAAATTCCATTCTAACGTATTATTTCCCTAGACCACGGATACTGTTAGGGGACTATTACAGAAGTATATTTATAAGTGTCCATATTAATGAAACCCTTCTTTTTTCATCTGTTTTCCTTATACGTGAACAACATAGCTGCTTGGACGTGTTGGTACTTACACGTGACAATGTTCAATTATGAAGCAGTATGTGGTATTAGGACAGCTCGCGCTGGGAGGCAAGGGATTGCTAGATGCTTCGTAACGCATATCTATTGATGCCGTTTATCCCCAGTCTACCGATAAATAAACGCTAGCTATTCTACCGTGATGCTAAATGATTAAAACTATTCACTAGGCTTATATCATCATTTGAATTGGAATGTTCATCCTTCCTATGAGTACTGAATGTCCGTCACACCTTGCTGAAACTGCGCAACCGTAGTACGCGCAGAATATGGGTTATACGGACGTAACAGGACAGGATGGGTTAGAGAGATTTTAGTACGCAGACATGACACAGGGGGCATTTACCTCGTTCTGAGCAGCCAATTAGCTGGCGACTTATTTCAATAATAGCGAGAGGTACGATGAATGCGCCGTAGTATTTCACGTGCGGTCACATGGTAACTAGTGTTGAGCGATGTTACAGGAGTAGAGTGTGACATAAGGATGGGTGCTGGCACATAGCAACCTTACACATCAAGGTGAGTAGCCAACACGTCCGCCCGCCAATAATGCTTTAAGGAAAACGTTCTAATGTTTCATTTAGTATTAGTACGTTTCTCTGTGACACTGGTTATCAACGTAATGGTACGTATAACAAATTAGTGTTCAGGACATTTGTATTCTGTGTTAGTACACAGCTAAAATGTGTTGTAGTGATATGAATACTCTAGTAGTGTTCAGGGCATTTGTATTCTGTGTAAGTACACAGCTAAAATGTATTGTAGTGATATGAACACTCTAGTAGTGTTCAGGACATTTGTATTCTGTGTAAGTACACAGCTAAAATGTATTGTAGTGGTATGAACACTCTAGTAGTTCTCAGGACATTTGTATTCTGTGTTAGTACACAGCTAAAATGTATTGTAGTGATATGAACACTCTAGTAGTGTTCAGGGCATTTGTTATTCAGTACAACTAATATTCTTTGAGAAGCTTACAGCTGAAAGTTATTGTAGTTTGGTGTCGTGGTAGGTTAGCCCTAATAGTGTTTAGGACATAATGTATTTCAGTACAAAGGATGTGTTCTTTGAGTAATTTACAGATGAAAGCTATTGTAGCGGTACATTTACCTTAATACTATTTAGGTAATATGCATTTCAGTACAAACGATGCTCTTTAAGCAGCAGACAGATGGAATTTGATGTAGTGGTAAGTTTACCTGAGATGTGGTTATAATTAAGACGTATCATTTCAGTATAACCCATGTTTTCTTTGAGTAGTTTACAACTGAAATTAATTGTAGTGGTACGAATACCCTAATGTAGTGGTTAGGACATCTGTATTTTAGTACAAACGAGGCTCTTTCTTTGAGAAGTTTACAAACAAAATGTATTGTAGTGGTACGTAAACCCTAGTAGTAGGGTAGTATATATATTTCAGTACAATTGATAGGCTCTTTGATCAGCTTACATCTTAAATTAATTGTAGAGGTTTGTATACCCTATTAGGGGGAACGACGTTTGTATTTCAGTACAAACGATGCTCTTTAAGCAGCAAACAGATGTAATTTGTTGCAGTGGTAAGTTTACCTTAAATGTGGTTATAATTAAGACATATCATTACAGTACAACTTATATGCTCTTTGAGTAGTTAACAACAGAAATGTATTGTAGCTATAAGAATATCCTAATGGAGTGATTAGGATATCTGTATTTCAGTACACTGATATGGTCTTTGCGAAGTTTACAACTGAAATTAAATGTTGTGGTACGAATACCCTAATGTAGTGATTATAATACTTATCTAATTAATATACGACTAATGCACTTACTGAATCTTTTATCCTAAACATCGATTTATTAGGCAACTTAGTAATCCAGTTTAAAATTGTTAAGGCATGATGTCCGAAGTGTACGCCCATGACCATTACCAATCAAACTTGATTTCAATGAGTCAGATTAAGGGTTGTACAGTGTTGTCAAATCCTCTGATGTAGCCGAATCGACATCGATTTTGTGACAACTTGTACACCTTTGTGTGCATACGCTTCACTGGTCATTTGTCTGATGAAGGTGACAGTGTACATACCGTACAGGTCATCGAAACGTCACAAAGAAACTATTATTGGTTGTTTAAAAAGAACTTTTCATAATACTCAAATGTAAGTCTCTTTTGGTAATGTTATTTTTATACTATGATCATCCAATGCTGAACTTTATCTCTCCTTGTCCTACCATCTGACGTTTTAAATGTTTGTTACGAGATTTCGTATTTAGTTTATATATTTAAAGTATTGTAATTGACTGTAGTTAGATTTATTTTAGGTATGATCCCGACATCGTATTATGTCGTCAGAATTGCTGTTAGATATTAAGATCGTAATATCTTCTAGTAGATCAATTAAGCAGAGATATAATTTGGCGATAAGGCGCGTTTATATCTGTTACCATAAAGAACGGTTTAACAAAATAACGCCAACGTTTCCTTATTCCACTATAATGCGATCGTATTTTCCTAAACACGGGACAACTCTCGAAAGTATTTAATTGCAGCTCTGTTAGATGTAGGAGCGCGGTAACGAGGAGTCGAAATACCGACAGGTGAAATAAAAGTAACTAGCAAAGAGAAGATATACTATATATATAGTTTTCATGCTACCCGGTAATATTTTCTATATGACATATTTTCAAATAATGCCACTCAATTTTGTTGGCTTTCTTGCCATACGACAGCAAAACGTATTCTATGCTTTAAAAGTTGGTGGCTATAAGTGAAGGGAACAAACCTGTATAATTATCATATTAAACACCGTATTAAAAACCTCAAGTTGATGACAGATCGCAAAGTGTTAGCTTTCGGTTATTCCAGAAATATCTCTAAATATTTCAACTCACGAAAGTTCCTGCTGTACAATTTTTGTCTGATATATTCTCCGAAAGTTCCTCTTTCATTTAATCACGGAAAAGCACGTCATGTGGTAAAGTATACAGTGCTAGCTATAAACTGCGGTATTTTAATTTATTTACATCTCGTGATTCAAGTTGACTTGACGTGACAGTATATATTACTTCATCGTCCTGTTGATTTATGAACTACTTATACAGGGTTTTCGACAGGAGGAGCTTTAATCTACGCTCGATTAATTGTATCATTATTATCATAACTTGATTTCAAACTAGACATTTGCAATGTGTATCATATTATTATCTCTTTACTACCTGTGTCTGAAATCATGTGTTGGAGACATACAAATATATGTGGCACATGGATAGCATACTCTTACGGGAAATCTGGCTTCTTCTTTGCTTATTGTATTGGTTTATGGCGTATTTCCTCTTGCTGTTACTATCTCGTCAGGTTAATTTGCTGCCTTGTATGTTGTACTTTGTTTTCTGTACTATTTTATAGATGACACGCCGTTTTATCTACCTGATCAACATCTAAATTCATATTATCTCTATATTATCGATTATCATTCAGTCCTCTTCACTTTAACCGAGCAGTAAACAGATAAGTGGAAAGCATGTTGACCATGTCAAAGAATTAGTTTCTGACATAAGTAAAGTGTGAAGGTGTTGTTTCAAATAGGAAAGTTACGTATGTGGGATGTGTAAACACAGGGCTTTGCTTAAATCATAGTTTAGTGTGACTGTTATAACAGAACACAGCCTCTGCTGTTACTTGAAATATTTGCAATCGTGTTGAAAACATGACTCTGCCCCTGTTGGTACGTGAATAAATGACATCAAGTTGAAACATGACCCTGCCTCTGTAATTACACGAATCTTTGATTTTAAGTTTATACGTGACTCTGTCTGTCAATACGTATATCTGCGACTAATAGATTCTAATAAATGTAGGTACGTGGTATAAGGTGTTTCCCCGAAGGTGTAGAATTTGGTCAGAACCAGAGTATTGTCGAGGATCTCAAACCCAAGTCTGCAACCGGTATACATTTTATATCCAATATTCTTCTATTTGATTGAATCTTTATCTGCCATCATTTGAAAGAATAGCGTACAGCTACCAATGGTAGCCTTCTAATTTCAATTCAACACCTACAGGTCAAACTTGTTGAATATCCCTATTGCTCCTGACGTGACATCTCTTTGCGACTACAAGATTATCACAGTATGTCAAACACAGTGTTGATAAGCTTCCTATCGTGACAGTATAGGTCAATAAGTGCACCCACATGGGATTAGTTGGCCGTTATTCAATGATGACGGTACTGGTTTAATGCAAATGTTTAAATGACGTTATGCATTGTTAACTTGACGTCAAAGAATTGTTGATGAGATGTCAGACAACAGTTATGTCTGGGGAATCCCCCGTCTCAATCCTAGGGTGAGACAAAGGATATCTCACACCGTGAAAAGCAATGATACACCTGCCAAGGGTAGACAAATCACGTTTATCATCTATAATATATAGGATAGTGGTATATAGATGATAAAAAGTTGATCTCTCAAGGTTTTCAGTCTTTGTCGTTCGAACAATTTTTCTCATCGCTTGCACGTGGATAAAATCTCGAATTTGACGCACGTGTAAACATGAAAACGTTGTTCAAGTCTGATAATCTATAATTGTCACTTGAGTGTTCCATAAGGGACACGAGTATCTTTCATATGTAAAGGTTGGAGTAATTAAGTTTAAACATGACTCAACCACTGTTATTTCATAAATTCTTGACATTAAGTTGAACCAAGATAAAATAACATAATAGGATTATGTAGATACTTTCAATCACATTATCTAACATAGCAGGGCTCTCTGCGATGGTCTTTGACATGGACGCCAAACAGAACCCTTCTGTTAATATGACAAACGTTGACATGAACGCCAAACAGAACCCTTCTGTTAATATGACAAACGTTGACATGGACGCCAAACAGAACCCTGCTGTTAATATGACAAACGTTGACATGAACGCCAAACAGAACCCTTCTGTTAATATGACAAACGTTGACATGAACGCTAAAGCGGTTCATCAAATAGTACTTATATCATATAGCATTCATATTCTGATATAACTTAGTGCGTAGAATCTTTTATAATGTCTAGCTATAGGTATACGTTTGATTTATATTGGAGTTATCTTTCTGAACGTTATCATTTTAGTTTCAATTTACAATATCAATCCCAAATAACCTTCGTTTAACTAGTGCTCACGCATTATTTGTGCCTTTCTTAAATTAGTCAATTTCCATAATTTAGTATATATTACTTTTTTTTTTTTAATTTAAACGTTTTTTTTTTTTTTTTTTTTTTTTTTTTTTTTTTTTTTTTTTNATTTGTAAAGGAATTTGTTTCAACTGTTAAGATAGCATATATATATACATAATACACAATAAGTTTTCCATTTCATGTGATGTTCATGGAACAAGTCTTTGAAAATGATGAAAAAATATGACATGGTCGTATTCACAGCGTATTACGGAAGTCAAGTGATAGTTAGATAAATCCTATGGGCGATAGATACATAGGAGTTGCTATTTTTCTTGTCATTTGACGTTTGACTTACAACAGCTGGCTTCCATCAACTGCGATGCAGAGTTATGACCAACGAAACTTTTCTCTTTCAAACTGGAACGATTTGAACGGAAGTGGACATAATTGATATCACAATAACCCCTATCACAATAACCATGTCATGTAAATTTACATGTGATTACTACACGTGCTGAGTCCTAACAGAGATGCTATATTAAATATCCTGTTATTAATATTGGACATAATCTCGAGGATTCCTTGAAGTGCGGTATGTCCCTTCAGAATGTCGGCGTCATATCTAAGAATGATTCCCCCCGAGATCATAGTAACGGAGATTGATTCTTTGGACGTTCAATGGGCCTCTCAGACAATCCTGATCTAATGAAATACATGCCTTAACAGTGTGTCTACTGATACCCTTTATTCTGATATTGATAGAAGTTTTATCTTGTTACTGAATTCTTCTATTATTATCATGTCTTGTAACTACCCTTTTTAAAATAATATTGAACATTTGCAAAATATACTAAAATGAAATTACTTTTCGTTACAGTTGTACTTCGAATGACTTTATCGCAAGAATTTGCGAAACCTACAGGAGGACTTGTAACGCTTCCATTGTTATGTTAGTTGTAACCTTTTCAGAAGCTATTGTTCATATGTTGTTCCGTTTATAACCTGTTCCGTCCATGACTGCATCGCTGGTCTATCAGCTAACTAAAGCATGTAGCCAGGGTTTCTATCGAGGGAGCTTCAATCTACACTGAACACATCGGGCGATTGGCATCATGACCTCTTGTGAAACTATGCATGGATTCATAAGTTTCATATTGTTTTTGTTCCCAATCGCAAAATCATATTAAGTAAGAAAGTTTTCTTATTAATTCAACAACAAACACCTGATTAATTAACGGTATTGTTACAAAGGTATAGTATAGTGGTCGTCACTCACTATGAAGAGCAGTGGTATTACCTCACACACCTTTAACAACAGTTTTTATCTATTTATATCAATGTGGTAAGAATTTCGTTATGTCGTTGTACATAATGGCGTTCGTAGCCGTGATAATAAACCACTTTTATTGCTCAGCTATAATTTTCTCATCAAACACTTTTCAGTTTGATAAAATGTCATTATGGCCTCACTTCTATGCTTAATACTTTAAAGCCAAGTCAACAAAATATGAAATGTCATGTTGTAAAAGAAAATATTATTACATTCAATGTATTTTGATTGATAAACTTTAAAAAAAGAAAAAGGTTATTCTCTTCATTTCGTGTATATGATATTCAACGCCATTGTGACCTAATTAAAAATACAGGTGCATTTTGTTTTTATATAACTATATAAAAGTATAACGATGGCGCATAGCGGTGCTTCAGAATCATTACCTTTTAGTGTAGAAACATGAACGTAAGACACAAACACGTGATACACTAAGGTATGTTAGTAATTATTCCCAGTATGATTATAGCTACGTATATGCTCAAAATCAATAAAAAAAAAGACAGGGTACGCCTGGTGTCATCAAGATAACAAAACAAAAAGGAAGACAATTACACATTAAAAACTGGAATTAACGCCTGCAACCGGTTGCTACTAAGCTATCGCAAACAATTGTATGTATTTACTGAGTTATCATAATCATTTTATGTATTAACCTAGTCATCATCAGGATTTGGGTATTTTTCTATGCTATTGACAGAAAATAAATTATGAAACGTAGATCCAATCAAATTTTTCTTATACATGTTGTATATGCGTCTGGGAGAAAAAATGAAAAAAAATCTGACCGGCATCAGTTTTGTTGAATACGGTGAGAGAATATGTCAACACACTATACGTTATCTAATCGAGAAAACCTACGCCCACTTCTCGTAGATCCAGTGTCTATTTCATGAAACTGATATTAAACATGGGTTATAAATAAAAACAGGCATCAAATTAAATATATGTCAGTTTCCTTGTCATAGGATTTTACATGTCACAGATTATTGGCTACCCCAGAGCCTCTGTTAGAAGGATTAGGTTTTTCTGTATAGATACATTCTGTTACTGAATAAACCATTTAATCCGATTTATTGGTATTATTACCGCTCTACATGATATTTCTACCATGATTAGTGATTCGTGCAATATATCACAAAATCATTAGGTATTTCCTCATCAAATCTTGTACATTTCTAGCAAATCTGATAAGTTTAATGACAACATATTACTTTTATGATAACTTCATATTTCAAAAGCAAATCTACTCCAGAAAAAATCGTAAAAAAACCAAACTATATAATATGATATAATAACAATATAATATGTAAGGAATGCAACCTAAGAATTACAGAAATACTGGAGTGTAACGAGTTATACCACAACAGCAAAAATATGACCACATGCATCGTCTTCATAACGAAAAGAGTTTTATTTCGTCTTCCGAAAAATTGAATCAACTTCATAACGATGAGAGTACTCTAGTATCACCATGACGACAAGGAATGCTCTTGATAATAAACACCGTTTCATTTAAGGTAACAAAGCCTCTGATGCTAAGATCGGTGTGTTTCTTTTACCCCCAACGATAAAAAGTCTTATGATAAACATGATTATTATTTTTTTGTCAGAAGCGAGTTGATTGATTGATTGATTCTGCATAAGCATTGCATACAGGCCGAGGGGCAAATGCCAGACAATACAAATCAATGTTAAATCGAAATGTTCCAGAACATAGGGCAACAGAACTAAAGAAAGCGTATATATTTGTTTTAGTGGAGTACATTATAGTCTATATATTTTTACGTTCAAAAGCTTAACAAATCCATAATAATAATGATAATAATATGTACTTTTTCTCCTTACGTTCTTCAACCGTATGCTTCAAAATATATTTACTTAGCATTGTTTTTTTTATTATGAAACATGTGTTACAGCGTTTGTCCCTGTACAAGATATATACACAAAAAGTAACGAAAACTTAACAGACATTAACAATGGCGGACTTAATCATCCGTAGTACAATTTGGCTTTCGTAAGGGACATCAATATGGTTTATCCACATATCTTACCAAAGTGTTATTTAATAGAATTTGTTATCACATCTACTCTGCCCTTTGTAGTTTTGTTACTTACACATATATATGGCATTAGTTGTAAATTAACCAGCAGGACTGATCACCTTACACTGGCCCGAGTAGGGCTAGTCCACAGAAACCTCCCACACAGTCCTATCAAATCAATGGCACCTTATTGGTACACTACAATTATAAAAAATGTCAAAAATAATCCCAATTATTTAGTTCTATTTCCGAAGTCGTAGATTCTACATATGAACAATAGCTGGCGTTTATATCGTCTGAATGATCACAGTTTCCGCTGACGACAACAATGGTCTCGCCATTTAAACATATTAACACTCGAATGGGCACCTAATTACCTCACCAGTGCGATAGTCTACACATTGTTCTGCAATTAACAGGTCTCACGATCCTAGCTAAGTGATGGACAATTATGTTAACGCCCAAGCATAGGGTAACCGGACAGGGACGCCGGACAGGTGGGATTAGGGTAAATTGCACGTTGGTAGCTTATCAGGAATTTGTGTCTCAGAAAATATTACAAACGGAAATCGTGAATTGTACTTTGCTGGTTCTACTTTTCCGGTCATCTTTCAGTCGAGTACAGATGTGAATATCTGTAGTACCATGGGCCAGTTAAGAGTACACACTATTCAAAGCTATAAACGGGATTCAATACATAATTAATTCATACGTCATATTTTGTTTTTTATGTTGTATAGATTTTTCAAAATATGTCGTAGGTGTCAGAAGAAAAAATAGTATTTCCTAATAATCAGTACCTCCGTTTTACATTTGAATGCTAATGATATTTTATTATTACTAACACGAGTTAAAAGGGTCATAACAATCCCTTATATGGTTTATAACAATATGGCAGAGTTATTCAAATCACATAAAACTGGAGTGGAAATATCTGCGCAGGCAGTGTAGCTGACTTATAAATCTTATATTGAATCAGTATGTTTGTGAGCTCTAGTTTTCGCGCTGGATGTTATTGTAATGGCGTTATACTTGTATTGAGGGTAAGATTATTTGATTAATTGCAACGCCTAATAATATAAAGAAATATAAAGAACATTGGTTTCGCCATGGTTTTATTTGGAGAGTCATAGCTTTTGCCATTGGGTGTTGAAGCTGAGGGTCATATTCTTTATTGATTTAATGATTAAATATGTTTGTAAAGTCATGCTTATAAATTGATTCCTTTGCAGGTATTCTGACGTACAGAAGGATGGTAAAGAAGAAAGACCTTCTGAAGATATTCTTCATTTACATTTGTCTGTGTCATCCGTCCCCTGCTCATCCCTGCGGTAACAACCCCCTGAGGAATCTTATGTTTATTTCCGACCGCACAGGTGCGTGATGCTATATTATCATTATCTCATCCATAATGTGTTTACTAAAGTGTATTGTCGCTATGTTATCATATTTTCATAACAACAGGATAGTAAAATACTGTATTTATTTTTATTTGTAGAAAAACTAAAAATATAGAAGATATAAACTTATTTCCTATTAAATACACATGTCATAAATATTTTATTATTACGCCAGAATACCTATATGTATTTTTTAAAAGTGCACATTACGGGTAAAATATCAGCATACTCTGCCGTTTTGATGAAATACGAATTATATATATAGTGTTTAGCAGGAAAAAAATATATTCAAAAAGGCACTGCATAAAAAACATGCGGAAACAAGTAGCCGCGAAGAGATGTGCATAGGCTAGCGCTGCTCTAAATCAGTAGGATTTACTAACAAAGACTGCTATCAATTTTGTTGATGGGTAAAAGATCTTGATGTATTCTGTAACGATTTACTGGAACAACCATTTGTTCGACTGTCGCTTAATCTGCCTCTGACTAGAAAATATACAACTTTAAATGAAGCGAATACAAAATATCGTTCTAACTGGTCAATACCAAAAGTGCTATCTTCACATTGTGACAATAATTACTCTTAATGTCTGGCACAGTGTGAAATAATAATGTACATTTGAAGTACACCTTGGGCCTTTTTATCATTGAATGTTTTTGTATTTATCTTGGTCGTCTTTCAGCGAGGTTTTGATTTCTAATAAACGAAGGCATCTGTTTCTATTACATTCCATTTTTCTAGTTCAAAATAAAGTATCTAGTTCACTCTGGATGAAATGTTTCTGAATCGTTGTTAAAAAGCTGAATTAATTGGTTTTGTGGGCGTTCCCTATTTACATGCACCTTACATTCCCTGATGGTATCAGAGATGGGAACCTATATATATATACCTAAAAGCTTAAAACGTTTACTATGTACATCCAAATTTGATATGAATACCACAAATGTTGTTACTGGTGTAAAAAAATGTAAGAAACCAAGGTGTGGTACATGTAAGATTATCATTGAATGTAAAGACTACGTTTTTGCAAATGGTTCCAAAATAGAAATTAGATCAGACATTAACTGTAATTCTAAGAATGTTATTTACTCTTTAATATGTAAACAATGTGGTGAATTTTATATCGGACAGACCGGATGTGAATTGAGAATACGAATGAATGTACATAGACAACAAATGAAGGACAATGAACTAAGATTTTTAAAAGTTAGCAAACATATGCATCGATGTTCTAAAGATGATTTTCATGTGTTACCTATTTACAAACTGAATAGCGACGATGTAGTTGCAAGAGNACAGGCGTATTTGTTCGCTTATTTCTCGACCTATTATATTTCAGGCCGAAGCATTGATTCTGTACTGGTACTTCTGAGGGATTTCGACATATACGCCTATGAACACTTTCAATACTTGTTCAATAACTACGCGGCGTGTATAGGAATGGTGGACACTGGTTACTTCAAACGGACAAGTTCCAGCGCTCACCACCCTAGCCAATCTCACGACGACCCGCACTCACAGCTTACCGATATGCCTCTACACGACATCGTCAACTTCATTAACTCCCTCAGCAATGAAAGCACCAAAAGGTACTTCAGCAATTGTGAACTCCCACTTACTCGAACTCGCATTACTCGAATACCCCCTATTCCTCGAACAGTTCGCTTGATACCGACTATATTCTGATATATATATGTAGTTTTATTTTCATTATCCCTGATATACAGAGCCGTTTTATCAGCGATTTTTTAGCTTTTTATCTTGGTTGCCTTTTTGAGCGAGGTTTTGATTTCTAATAAACAAAGGCATCCGTTCTGATTCCATTCCATTTCTCTAATTTTGAGTAAATTATCTGGCATAAATAAAAAGGATATTTTGATGAAATCTTTCTGAAACAATGGTAAAATGCTGTATTCTTTGGTTTATGGTTTAATATTGAAGACTTTTGAAATCAAAATTTAAAGTCATAATTGATACGTTAAAAATATATTTTTGGATTAATGAATCTGCGGTGAATTTCAGAACGTTGATAATTGTAAAATAAATAAAAGTGGAGGCTGAAAATATCTTTCTGATCAATGTAAAACAGGTCAAGTCATCTTATTCTACAAACCAAAGAGCATAATTTGAATGAAAATTCAACAGTCAATGATCCAGTAACACATGGCGAGTGTGTCTTAATGTGGTCAAAAATCTAAGCATGTTAATTCCTGTGTTGTAATCAACAATTAATATACATAATTGACCAACACATTATTCATGTCTTAAATGTGTTTCTAACCTTCAAGAATTCGGTGCCATTAGACGTTAGCCATTGGCATTCTATGACATTCTTTTAGACAAAAAATGAGTTTGCGTTGTTAATCATTTAAAGTTCAAGTTTTTGAAAAAGAAAATAGTATCGATAGTTATAGCATAAAGATAACTAACCTGGCAAGTATTTCAACTGCTTTCCCGAAGAGGAATTGAAATTAATTTCCTTTTCTAAATAGAAAAAAAAACCACTCATATCAAAATAAACCTTCATAAAACGCTTAGCTTGTTTCACATGCCTCGGATATTGTAAAATTCTTTGAAACAGGAGAGAAAAAAACATCGGCTAAAATGAAGCTGTGCACAAGAAGATCAGGTTGAATTATCGTGAATCTTTTCAAATATTATTACCAAATTTCAACAAAAAGTGCTGTCAACAAATTAAATAATTATGCTCTTTGTTATCATCTACGTTATCATTTTTTTCTGTTAAAAGCAATATATCAAAGCATACATATGAGCGTTTTGAGGATATCCATAAAAGGCCGATACACCAAGTCTCTAAGGCATGATTAAGGATAAGACTGAGGAACCGTTGTTTACAGGATGGAGAAGTTACTTCTTTCTACAATGTTCTCTACATAGATATTTTCTAAAATCCACATCTGAAAAGTAGATTATTACCGATTTATCATTTGAGGTTTAGGTGTGGTAAAAGCATAAAACTACACAAGTGTAGCCTCATATTCAGGATTGAAGCGCGACACTGTTGATGAGATTAGCATATCATATAGGTCCGATGGACCTGAACAGCATTCAAACATGCATGCTTTAATTCAGGGTAACGTTATACAGAAAATACATCTCACCTAGGATACGACAGAGCCCAGTGTGTATCGCCAGGATTAGCGGGTGTGCGTCATATAATAGGGCGTTTATTTGACAGCACACGTAGCCAATCAGCTATAACCACACCTCGTCCATACCGTTAAGAGGACAAGTCGATACAAAAGCAATTAATTTGTCTCACAGTTCAAATAAATCCTTCTTTATTGTGTACAAATTATATGGCACCAACAGTGTTGTTGATTGAAATGGAACTTGTGTACAAACACTCCCTTTCTGTTTGAAAAAATAGATTGAAAAAAACCCTTTTTGCGTAATTTAGTTATGTTTTGTTTAATAGAGATGTACAAAGTTATTCAACATTATGTGAAACGGTACCGTATCTCAAAGAATTCACAGGAATTTGTGACGACCTAGGTAATTAGTAGTGTTTGTCAGCGCTGGTCGTTAACTACATTGTAAGGGTGAACAGGCTTCACAATGATACAAATATTCATCGTTTAATTGCACATTCAGGTCTATTGATGATATTATATCATTGGTGAAAATATGTATAATTATCTTCTATTGCATTATTTATCTTCTTGAATTTTACCGAAGAAAGAAAATGTATTTTTCTTCATCATACTATCCTGATATGTACCTAGAATGACACATACTTATCAGTTCACCTCCAAAAGTTGAGCAGTTTCAACTCTACGAGCCCCCAAACTCAATATCTATGTAGGAACCATGCTTAACCTCCTTTGTATAGGCGGTAACATGTCACAGTGTATTCGCTACTGTCTTAAGTATCAAATTCTACCTAACCATGGTTTATCAAAGGGGCTTTCATCTATATTGATAGGTTGTACGATCATGACATACTTTTTAAAAGTTATACTTCCGTGATTATTTATAAAAGACTTTTGTATTAGATAATTTGTTACTAAATATCCTATCTGATTCGATAGGAGACACCCTTACTAGTATCACAATTTGTTCGGGAAACCCCTCCGAATGCCTGTTTTTTTAAGGAGTTCATGATGACTTTCCTTTCGTTTTGGTGTCTCCTCGGTTTTTTGATGTTTTCATTCTCATTTCCATTTTTACCTTAGTTTCTATGGTTATTCAGACATCTCCAAATGGAATTCATAATATTTCTTCAACTTTTGTATGTTCCAGCAAAGACAAGAAATCATCTCGACAAAATTTACTGCGCCAGGTTTTAACTCAAGCAAGACATTTAATTCATGATGGGCAAGAATTCAATCAACAGGAAGTATTTGGGAATACAGCCACAGGGTGATGTGAAGATTTAAAATACTTTCATGACAATATGTCTGACTGGAGAGCTTCCATTGTTTCTAAGATATAGGAACACAGACGACATACAACATATATTGTTATCCTTAAATTTACGCTCGGTGCTACAACAATATCTGTGAATATTGATGGCATCAAAATAGGACGTGCTATTTAGAAATTGGAATGAGAACTTCATTTATGAGAGTGAAGCTGATGCATCCGTGACGTCAAGGGAGACAAACCAAATAATATTGTTATGGCAAATGCGCATGCGTATACATCACGTGGTGTACAATTTCACTCGTAATCATTTTCTTATAATAAAAAAGGAAAACAAAGGCGTGTTGTATCCACTGTGATTTGCGTCATCAGAATCGACTAAAGTAGTACTTATTTACAGAATGAAAATGTTAAACGCCTTTTGAGATGAAGAATATGAGAAGTAAAATACATGTGTGTTGATATACTTTATACTATTTATTATTTGTTATGAACAGATCGCAATCATTTCTAGCACCACAGAAAAAAACATCAAGCAAAAGAGAGTAATTGGTAGGCTTGTCTAGGTGTTACCATGGTGATGTATATTGGCCGGTACGTGTCATTTCTGAGAGGCGACAGAGCAAAACCTTTCTCGGCATGCAACCTGATGAAGAAAGGAACAATGTTCACACTGTTAAATGTTTTCATTGATATACTGGTAGCACAGTTAGTTACATATTGTACTCTCCAATGCTTTACTGAATCCATTCTCATTTCTCATAAGATAAACAAATTAATTCTTCGTTAGAAATATCTGTTTGTTGAAAATTTATTGTAAATATGATACATTTCAATGTCAGTGGTTCCATGGTGGTTTCATGTTCGAACTTGACGTGCATTATTCTCTTTTACTAACAATAATAGTTAACATAATTAGATAAACAGGTTAAGGACAGGTAACATGGCCATGTTTCCTGTCTAGCATTCATATAACCCCGATTTCGGCTGTGTACATATGAAACCTAGACAGTTAATATAAGCATGTTACCTCTGGGAAAATCCTTATAACGGGTTTGCAGACTTAAGCCCCCTTTTTAAATTAAGGAAAATGCAAATAGCCATTCTTATTTAATCCAACACCAACGACACTGTGTAGTTATACAATTAAAATAGCATATCTACGTCACGCTATCAAATTTTAGCAAAAGGGCAGTAAATAACTAAATACTGTTCGGACCCACAAATAAAGCCAAACCACTATTGGGAACATGTTTTAAGAACTCATGTTTTGACGGGGGATTAAAGACTTAAATGCCATTATCATGCCTCATGCCTAACTTCGCAAATACAGATGTGCGGTCTTACATTGCCGTACCAAAAAGAAGATTATCATTCATTTGTATAACCGTAATAGAACCGGAATACACATTATATTGTCGAGAGATTAAGCATTACACTTTCTATTGCAGTATGACAAATACTGACATAATTGTGATATATCTAAACTTTACGTATACCCTCAAATTGGACCAACATTTATTCATTTTTTATGTAACATATAAACAGACAAGATTGCATATTTACCAATAAATTTAACATTTTTTAACGATTGAGTATAAACATTGCATCAGATTCTGATTAAATAATAGATATCATGATTTCATTTGCAGCTTTTATTTATGCCTTATCATAATCTAAGCTAAATTCGTTCTGTAACTTGAGTTCAATATATCCATTCATCGTGCATCAGTCATATAAAGTCTCAAATCACTCTTTACAAATTCCATCAATTGACGGCGAGCTCAAGGCAAGGACCTAAAAACGAGTATGAATATCATACTGCTGTTGCGTGTACGTGTATATATCTATATTACCATATGGGTCAAATAAGTAATATAGACGGTAAAATCCCATATAACACTGGATCCTAATGGAGGTATGTCCGTAGGATACGAATTACTTAAAATATATACATTGCCATACATATATTTCATAAAATCACATTTGGTTTGCTGTTCACCGTCATAGCTGTTATACTATTTGAGACAAGAGTCAAATATATTCTTAATATGACATAAGCCTACTGATCGATCATCTTGAAGAGGAAACAAGATATGGTTCATTAAATGGGTTAGATTAGTATATAAGCTTCATCGACGACTCCCGCCGAATAAATTCAATTCAAATCCAAATAATGTCACATTTTCCAACTGAGAAATAAGGCGGTTACATTCAAACGTCGCAGAACGCTACTCAACATTTACTCTCAAAAAGTGGAAATTTCAAGATAATAAAATATTGGTCAAGTTGATTCCAAGTAGGGGAGGCTATATACAAAACCCGTGTTGAATACATTTCTTGATATTCTACCACGACATCTTGTGATGGAACTTTGTATTTTTGAAAATGTTTTTTTTTTTTTTTTTTTTTTTTAAAATTTTTTTTTTTTTTTTTTTTTTTTTTTAAATTACTGGCGCTGACACCAGTTACAATAACGCCAACAGATCTTTGCACTATTATTATCTATAAACTTTGAATTTCCAAACAAAATTACCACCAAATCACAACACTTATTATACTGTCAAAACCTGGCGGAAGACATTTTCACATGGATGTCTACAATTACAAGTTAAACCACTAACACGGTTCGCTCTAAATATGCCATGATGAACCTAACTAGTGTCTGAGCCTTGTGTGAACAAATATTAGGTTCTGTCACATTAGGAGAGCTTGTTTTCCGCCTTGTATATATTTTTTATATAAATCTAGCACAATCATTTGATCTGATAACTTGTAAGCATATACAGAAACTTTTCAAATTAATGTTTCTTTAACATCTAAACAGACATGATAAAGGAAGCGTTTAAGCTTTTGTGAAATGCTTATTTTTCCTCTTACTTTGAACTAAACGTATCTCTGGACGTTACTCCTAACTGTTTTGTACTTTATCAGATATTAATTATAAATCTTCCTCTATATCTACATTTGAAAGAAATATGATATTTTATCAGGACAATACATTTAGAACAATGAACGTACCCCACACAGAAGTGATTGCACTTTTAAAAATTGGTAATTAATATAGTATGTCTAGAAATGAATTACACTTCATCATACAGCTGTTATATCTTAAATTTTTCTTGAAAATCATCATTTTCCTTGTCTGGAAATTCACGAAACTTTGAAGTCTCTATTCAAAGTTTCGTAATTTACAGACAAGGACGTTATAAATAATATTTGGTTTAAACCATATTTTATTTACATATATGCAGTACATAATATTAATTTTTACATAATGTGATGTAAGGGATCTGGCAACAAGAGTAGGCTCTTATATTAAGCCATCTCCTAAATAAATAATATTTATTAGGAATAAACTAAAAGTAGTCCAATAATTGAGTCTCGAAAAACTGCTGCCTCAATAAGGAGAACAGAAAAAGAAATTATATTTTTAACAATGTACTGACGCTCATGAGAAGATGATTTTCTCTATGTTTGCACATTTCACCAGAAAAATGTTAAGGTTTTCACATCATCAACCACAAATATGAGAATGTGAACGAAACTATAATTCGAACTCAAAATCAATGAAACAATGACATACTAAGAGCAAAGCAATATGCAAATGCAGACTTTTGAAACAATCAAGGAAAATGAGACCAGATATCCCGGAAGGGTAAGCGTTGGGTTTTCTCCATCGAAGAATTTTGTCATATTTATCTAAGTTAAACCAAAGCATTATCAAGTATTAAAACCCACAACCAATGTGGTGACAACAAAACGAAATATCAAACGAAACAGCATATTTCCTAGTGATGTCCTGGAAACATGGCCATTGTCCTATCATGACTGCATCCCCCCAGACTTAGAGTTATACATTTGTGAGTCAGAATTCGACATGAATCAAGGAAATCACGACATATTTTGAACCAAGTCAGTTCGACTCCCGGTCTAGTCCCGCGGTATCTTTACACTCAGAACACTGTTGTAATATATACAATATATGTGGTTGTTAGTTTTTGACAGTGATACGGAGATCCTTACTGAGATGACTTTTTGAAATTCTCGTTGTTATTACTTTTGAAAATATATCAATTTCATAATTGTTTGATCTATTGAAATATCGATCCAAAATTTAGAATGTATGTATCCAATTAGTAAGTTGAGTATCTTTATATATAATTAAGAACGCATTTGCTGTTGCCGGTTTCAATAGATCATAAATCTTTTTGTCCAAAAATTGTATTAAGAGATAAAACCCTTAAAATCCTATTTTAAAAGTTCGAACTTGGAAAGGTCAAATATTCTTCGAAGTGGGAAAAGGTGGATATCCTCCAAAATCAAACACGTTGAGTATCTCCCAACCTCGACAGATCGGTCCCGATAAATGTAGTCATTTATCTTTTCTCTGTCTTAAAATGAATTAAATAAATATGGCTTGGCATGATGAATAGGAAAATATATCTAAGTAAAACACCAAAAACAAAACATATCTGTTCGAACCGTAAAAACGAAATGAAGATTATACAGATTTGGGAAGTATTGCAATGTAGTTCAGTTGATATGAAATTTATGAATACATGTTAACGTGATATCAAATCGTACAAATCCGGACCTGTAATCGGACAACTGCCTACTATATGAATCGTTGTGTAATACATAAATGCGTCAGTAAGAATGGAGCATATACACCTTATATAAAAAGGGTGTTTCCTCACGTCATCCCACATTATATATCCTTACTAGAATTGTCCGAGGTCAGACACGCAAAACATATCAGAAGTTCATTATCCGCATTATATTGATTGCGATATGATGACACCCCTAGGCCTTTGATGAATATTAACTATGATTATCAGTTAAATCGTCCAGAACATTGCCCGGTAATGTGATATAATCGTTCCTAAATGCTATTTTGTAAGGTTTAATTTTAAAGATTATTGATCCCATTATGACGTCACCAATCTCCGAGCTGACTCCTCTGGTGCAATGTATTAATATGTGTATATAGTTACGAGAGTGTCAGTAAAACTGTCATTCGAACTCAAAATCGATGAGATTAGAGTAAAATACGTGAGAGACGTCAGCATTTTATCATAATAACTTGACTGGATTACATCGGATAACATACGTAATGAGAGATGTATTTATTGAAAGTAATCGGTTTAACTGTTTCCTAAAATATAACAAACAAGTCATTAACCATTATTGCTGCTGAGAAAAAATGATAGTAATTTCAATTTTTAAATGAACTAAAAACAAATGAGTTCAATTTTATAAAGCGTTAAAGCCATATTGATAGTTCAATTTTTGTCCGTTATCTTCTTTCCTTGTTCTCTCTAAATATCTTATCTTCTATGCTCAATATTATACAATAAATTATCTTTCATTTTAAAATTGGTTAAAAATGTGATTTCCATTAGTGTTTTTTGAGGATGTACATAAAAGTGTAAGGGCGTCTCAGGTATGTGTTCTCTATTTT